AATTCGATTTCTCTTAAGTAAGATCTCAAGTTCAACTTTAATAAATAAAGAAATAGGCATTGAAAGAACTTTTCTTTTATGGGATTAAATGCGATTCGATTCCAAATTAGTCAAAAGATCTAATGTGGTTACTAACATTACTAAAAAATAACATTTAAACGACAAGAATATAATCGATAACTAAAAAACAATCGATTATACTCTTATAGTTGACAAAAATTCTATTAATTTTATTAATGAATCGACTATATAGGGTATAATCGATAATCAATTATATGGGGTATAATCAACAATTAATAGTGACTACCGATTATGAATGTATAATTGACAACCAATTCTGTCATTATACTTTTATAATCGACAAAATTTTCTATATAATTGATAAAAATTTTTGTTGATTAAATTTAATATTTTAATAGTGTGGATACGAAGAAGTTAATACAAAAAGAAAAATACTTAATATGAGATCTATTGAACATCTATGCGGGGAGCTGATCGTGTGCCCCAGCAGATTTTAGTGTGCCACATCACTCAGTAATCAACCACAGAAGAAAACATATTGCAGTTTAAGATGCCAATTTATTGATGGAAACAGTAAAAATTAAAATTATCAATAAAATTATTTAAATAGTCTTAATAATTTTTTTATATGCTAATTCATTAAGGATATTTTAACTTTTCAAAAAATATTTTAGTAGTTAAGAGTTTAAATTTACATATTAAATATTTTAAATTAAAATCTTGAAATTAATGAAAAAGAGATAAAAAAAATAAGATTATATTTTGTCACGTAACTTATTATCTAATAAATATTTTAATTTTTTATTATCATTTATATTATTTTATCTGTTAGATCGTTTTTATTTTTCTCAATTTTATTTATTGATTAAAAAACCCAAAGATAGCTTCAGTGATTTTTTCTTTTTTTGATGAATATAGTTTTAGTGTGTTGAGGATTAGACGTATGAGCTAAGCAAGGAATGACGTTTCACCTTTACTCGTAAAATTTTCAATGCATTTTGCCCCACTACCTAGGTCCAGGCCATTTATTAATTACCATAGGTTCCGTTTTATCGCCCTTGAAGTAAATGCATCGTCTTCTCCCTTCCACTTAATTTCCCTCATCACCACAAAACCCTCTTCCTCTACACCATTGATTAGTAGGGATGGTAATTTTCCTCGATCCTTGTAGGATTTTGTAGAAATTCTTGTCATGAGAACGGGACGAGGAGGAATATTTTTTCTCGCAGGGTAGGGATGGGGAGCATTTTCCTCCCGTGAAATTTCACGAAAAATTTTTCCCGTCCCGTGGAGCCCCGCGGGGATCTCCATCCCTGCAAAAATTAAAATAAATATAAATTAATTTTATTTTAAATTTAATTCATCTTTCAAACTCAAACCCAAATCCAAACCCAAACACAAACCCAAACTCAAGTTCAAACTCAATTCAATCAAAATTAAACTTAACCCAATTTTATCTAATCCAATCCAATCCAACCCAATCCAATCCAATCCATAAAAATTAACCCAATTCATCCCCCTACTTACATTTAACCTTAACCCTAATTCATTTCTCAATTTTCATTTTCACCTTCCCCTTTATTGTTGGTTTAATTTTTGCTTATGTTTTAGTTGAGCTTTGATTAATTTTTGTTTATGTTTGGAACAAATTTGTTAATTGTTGGTTTAGTTATTTGTATTGAATTGATTTTTATTTATATTTGAACAATTTATATTTAAAAATTTTAGTTAATTGTATTTGAATTTTAGAATTTTATTTATTATAATTGAATATTAATTAATTATATATAAAAGACAAAAAAATTTATAATTTAATATTAATTGGTGGGGAATGGGGATCTCCGCGGGGAACGGGGATGGGGGGCAAAATCTGCTCCTCGTCAAAAATCCCCGCGGGGATCTCCATCCTCGCCATTCGTGAGGACGGGGACAAGGAGGAACTCTCCGATTTCACGAGGCCCATTAACATCCCTACTGATTAGGGTTCAACTAGCTTAGTCTAATCATTCGCACATTCCTTTCACTCTTTTTTATTTTTATTTTTAAATATATTACAATTATTTACAAGTTAATTAAAGGATGAAGATAAAGGTTTCCGTGAAACTCGAATGTACAACTCATTGAAAGTGAATAACTTTAACTCAATATCCAATATCACTAGATCAAAACAGACCATTCTATTCCTTACCCTCTTTAGTTTAGCGAGAGACCAAACTACATTAATGTTTGGCTATTAATATTAATTGTTTTGAAATAATTAGTTGTGATATTTAAAAAATTAATATATAAAATAATTTTAATTTTTTTTTGAACATGCAAAATAAATTTAATTTATTAAATAATAATGTATTAATTATTATATCTTTTACTTTGTATTTTAAAAAAATAGATTAATGACATATTTATTAAACTTTTTTACTATTAATTTATATAAAAAAATTATTTAAAAATTATTTTCATTATATTATTATGTGAAATAATTTAATTAAATAATTAATAAATTTTATATTATTTTTAATAAATTAACAATAAAAGATATAATAATTATATTTTTAATATTATATTTATAATATATAAATTAAAATTTTTTAATATTATATTTATAATTATTAATTATTTTTATTTTTATTTTTTTTTGTTTCCCGTCTAGTATCCGGACTTCGCCCCGATTAATCCGGATCGACCTGCGTCGTGCACCTGAAAATGGTGGGTAAGTCTTCCAACGAAAATTGTTGCGTACACAAGGTCTCGAACTTGAGATCTTACTTAAACTGAAATAAGTCACTTACCACTTGACCCAACCCTCATTGGTATTATTTTTAATAATTAAATTTACGTGGCCTAACACTTTTACATAGGGGTGGGCAAAACCGGTTTTGGTTCAAAATTAAAACCGATTTTGAATTAATCGAAAAAATTTGGTTTTAATTTTACAAACTGAAACCAAACCAAAATTGTTATAAACTAATCGGTCAGTTATTGATTTTTATCAATGAATTTGGTTTGGTTTCGGTTTTTATTAAATAAATATTAATTAATTATTTTTTTAATAATAAATTATATTTTATCACATATTTTATCATATTTTGTTATATTTTATCATATTTTAATATATTTTATCTTCTTAATTTTGGTTTTATTTTTGGTTTTCGGTTTTTAAGAGATTTAACCAAAATTAAACTAAAATATATTCAGTTAATATCAAACCAAAAAAATAAAATCAAAAACCATTGAAACCGAACCAAATTCATTTTTTCGGTTCGATTTTTGAGTAAACAATCGGTTCCATTAAAAAATGCCCAGCCCTACTTTTACATGTATAGCTTTAATCGCAGCCCTACCTATATGGCTATCAACAAAAGGCATTGCCCTTTCCTCAATCATTAAATTGTCGTTTCTTAATGACCTCCATCAATTAAACTGTTCCCCGACATCAAACATTATAGTTTGTTTAGTTCGAGAAAAACAAGAGAGAGCAGACAGGCGAGTTTCCTATTTTTTTTTTCCAATTAGACTAAGCTTTTAACCTCGCATCTTTATTCAATTAAATAAAAAAAATGTTCTCTTCTTAAGAACCATTAATTAGATTACAATTATATTTCTTTTTTTTTTTCAAATTTTCTTAAACTAAATATAATATTAATACATTCCATTATAAGAACTGTTAATTAAATCACCATTACATCACCAGCATCTTGTATGATGTATGGTTTGAACAAGAAGGACAGTAGGGGACGCAAGGATTAATTTTATGCTGAAAGCTTTTTGTATATGTAACTAATATAGATGAATTGAAGTATTTTTTATATTTTTTAATAAAATTATTTATTGTTGTTTAAAAAATATCACCATTACATCATGAAAATTTTATTTTATAATATAAATTATATTAAATTATAAAATTAAAATAATTAACATTAAAAATTTTTTAATTAAAATCATTATTTTATAAATTAATATAATTTTAATTATAAAATAATTTTTTTAGACATTTTTTTGTCTTTATCCTTTTCTTGTCCTGGCAGAGTAAATATGGTACATGCACTCACCTCCTCTGACCTTTCCCTACACTAGTACTTGCTCTCCCTAATTCGTGGTTAATATGCCTGCTAGAGTATATATTAGTGGACATTGCACTGCATGTACGAATGGTGAAAATTAAATTAAATGCATAGGTGACACATTTCATTGTTGCAGCTTTTTATATTGGTTTGTTCGGAGGTGGGCCAAAAAGAGATTCCGAGCCCCTGGGGTCATGTTAAGGCCACGTAAAGAATTATTATAATCACATAAATATTGTAAGTTTATTTAATTTTATTAATTTGTAATGATTAAGGTGTTAAGAAATTTTTTTTAAAAGTTAATCTTAAATAATTAATATTTATTTTTTAATTTATAATTAATTAATAATTATTTCAAATATGTTTGTATTATTTCACGTGATATTAATAATCACTAAAAGAAGTCATCTTTTGCAACACTATTTATTATGATGATTTACCGTTGAAATTATATTAAAATAATGTTTATAATATCTTTTATTATGAAACTTTACACCAAAAATATTTGTCACAATTAAGAGGTTTTTTTAAGTAAATTTTTGTATGATATAACCGTGACCTCACTTCTGACACTTTTCTTTTAATGGGGTTGAGGACACAAAAGGGGCGAAGTGGGGGGCACCACTCGATATTTTGGGAAAATACAGAAATAAAGTAAAACCCAAAACGTGTGCAGCCCTTTGTGCACGTATCGTTAGAACTGAAGTTTTTTAAGGGCATGTGGCTGCCGGAGAATTGGGGAACATAAAACATTAGAAAGAAAGACAAAGGGAGTTCGCATTCGCTTCTTATTTAGGCTCAAGATTAATCACCCAACATATATAGTAGAAAATGAAACTGAGATGCTTGATCTTTATCTCCTTAATTACAATGATCAAAGCAACTCAGTTCCCTGAAAAACTTAAGCAAACAAAAGCACAAAAGAAAATACACATCCATTTTAATAAAAAGATTACTTATATGTAATTAATTCTTACTGCTCTAGTCTTGTAAGGAGAGCAGATTTGAGTCCATCTTCGGTTCTAAGACCTTCCGGAACTTTAACCACAACATCTTGGAGCATCAACTCTTTGACACATGACATGCTTGCATGGTGGACTTGAAACTCGAGATCGCGGAGGGCGCCCATCAATCTAGCAGCAGGATAGTTTACGTTATCGGATTGAACCCTAATCATGGCATCATTTCCTACAAGCTTGATTTCGAGTTCGAGGCCAGACCCACCACCATTAGGGTGAGCCTGATCCACGGAGGTAGTTGTGCTCTGGTTGTCGGTGGCGTCGGTCATCTCCACCTTCGCTTTCTTGGACTCCCCCTGCAATTGGGACTCCAATTCTTCAATTTTGACTTTGAGCTCGTTGATGTATGACACGGCGTCAGATAAGAGAGATGCTTTGTCCATGCGCGACACGTTCGGGACGACGGCTCGGAGAGCGTAGAACCGGTTGTTGAGCTTTTCTCGCCTCTGCCTCTCCGCCTCAACATGGTTCAGTGGAGTCTCGCGGCCGATGCCGGGTTTTCGTCCCCGCTTCTTTGGAGTAGTTCTGTTCTCTAACTTATTGATAGCTGCTAGTGGACAGTCGGAATCTGAATGCTCTGAGTCCACATAAGATGATTGTCCTGCTTTTATGGATCCTTTCTTCAGATTGTGGTGATTTTCTTTGGTTTTGTTATCAGGGGTTGCATCTTCTTCTTGTACACCAGCGATTATTCCGATGTCGGCGAAAGAAATGTTTCTGTCAAGGAATTGGATCGGCGCCGGAACAATATTGGGGGTGGGATTCGATTGCTTGGGTACTATGCCAATAAGATCTGACCCAAACAGGGATTTAACCTGCTGCACCAAACCCCAATTTTCCCTAATCATTGCAGACGAACCCAATTCAATCACCCCAGAAGAAGTAGGGATACAAACCAAGGTCTCAATGCCGTGAATTTGAGCTTCTCTAGCCCTTTCACAGTTGCAGAATTGCAATTCATGCGCCCCGGTCAGCCACAACAGAGATCCAGTACTAAGAGCCTTTCCGGGAATGCCATCTCCAGCGGAGAAAGACCTCGTCAATGACATGACGTAGAACCACTCAACGTCCGTAACGTCGCTGCCGTCCATCATCGACATATCGATGTCGTGGTTGTCCCCAATAAGGGCTTGGATCCCCTTCATAACCTTCCTTCTCTCCGAACTTATCCCCAGGATATTTGCAGTAGATGCGCTCAGCTTCGGAGAAGTATCTTTTGTCCCCTGAAAATGGCCGTCTCCCCAAGCCAAGAAGAGCCGACCATGGTCATCGTTTGACGTCTGCCAAAAAATGGCATAAGCCCACCAATCCGGCTGACTCTGGATCACGAATTGGAGCTTCTGCTGGAGAGTCAGCGACACAGGAGTGTCTTGGGAGAAAGACACCAGTGAAGAGGATGAAGAAGAGGAGATTATTAACTCAGCCATGGCTGAGACAGGGAGTTGTGTGGTAGGAGAATCGGGGAGAGGAAATGCTATATATGTAATCTATGAAGCAGCAGATCCTGGGTAATTTCGTAATTAGGAAAATTAAATAAATATAAATACCCAACAAAATTTTTTTTCCAAATTCTACAGGCAAAAAACTAATGATTAAATTGTGTATAGTTTAACATATAACTTATAATTGATACTAGTTAATAGTAAAATAATTTATATTTTTTCTGATAAAAAATTAATATTTATTACT